CGCTCTGTCATCAGGCTGGAGTGCAATGATGTAATCTCAGCTCACTGCAACCTCTGCCTCCCTGGTTCAAGCGATTCTCCTACCTCAGCCTCCCAAGTAGCTGGGACTACAGGAGCCCACCACCATGCCTGGCTAATTTTTATATTTTTAGTAGAGATGGGGTTTCACCGTGTTAGCCAGGATGATCTCGATCTCCTGACCTCGTGATCTGCCCACCTCAGCCTCCCAAAGTGCTGAGATTACACAGGCATGAGCCACCGTGCCTGGCTGCTTTTTCTTATTTTTAAGAGACAGAGTCTTACTCTGTCACCCAGGCTGGGGTGCAGTGGCACAATCATAGCTAACTGTAGCATCAAACTCCTGGGCATAAGTGATCCTCCTGTCTCAGCCTCTCAAAGCATGGGGATTCCAGGTGTGAGCCACTGCACTCAGAGCCCCAAGTAAGGAACTTTTGAACATGACCATTATACGAAAGATCATTTTTTTGAGACAGGGTCTTACTATGTTGCCCTGGCTGGTCTACACGTGCCCAGTGGCTCAGACTGCAGGCACGAGTCGCCACACCCAGCTAATATTAGCAATTTCCATTAGTTCAGAGGTTTGAGCTCTAGGCATGATAGCCTTCATTTACCTATCACATGGGCATAAGTTATTTACTTACGAATACCTTCCCGACATTTTCCGCATAACCACCACGATGATTCCACCAATGAAGCCAATGGCTAGTAAGACCCCAACTATAATTCCAACCAGGGTCACTGTTGCCAAACCATCTGAATGAGAGAGAGAAAAGAAGGCATGAGTCCCAGATAAAAACTATGCTGGTGATAAAATATGTAATATATAAACAAGGCTGCTGCCCTACTGTGCGCAGCAAATAATGCTCATGTTGGTTGAGCACAGAGTATTTCTTCCAAAAGGAGAGAATGTGGGCTAGTCTAATCCTATTTTACTAACAGGAAGATTTCAGGGCCTGCGGATCTACCAATGTGACGCTCACATCGCCTTCACTGTTAATTTTTGGGTGGTGTTTGCGTCTCTTCCAAAGGAGAAAATGTGGCTAGTCTAATCCTGTTTTACGAATGGGAAGATTTCTGGGTCTGAGAATCTACCAACATAATGCTCACATCGCCTTCATTGTTAATTTTTGGGTAGTGTTTGCATAGGGCTATTAAATTGGCCCCTATTTCCATTCTTAGTAACAATAAACTGAGCTATGATATCATTCTCCATATTTGTCATGAAGGCAATGGTCTCATCTGGGATTTGCTTATTTTCAAATACCAGGAATTCCCTTTTCTCTTAAAAAAAAAAAAATAAAAAAAAAAAAAAAAAAAAACCTTGAAATCTGTTCTCAAAAGGTTTTCTATTCTGTTCTCATTGACTGCAATCCAAAACAGAATATAATTCACTCAAAACTTAGCTTCAAAGAAATTTTGTAAAAACTCAAGTATGTAGGAGTATTTTGATGCCAAAAATCAGCCTACCTTTGTCAACTGTTATCTGTGTCTCTCCATCCACTTTCTCTGTAAAGAGAAAGATACATTAATGTAGAATTCTTAGAGTTTAATAAGTTAACAATTCACAAAAGATGAATTTAACCAAGTGGAAAGTGGCAAAATATAAATCAAGAGGATGACTTCTTAAATAAATTGGATCAGGGGATTTTTAAGCAAGCCCTGATGTGACACTGTCTTTGTAACTATTATCTAACTTATGAATCCTTATTCACACCAATGGGTTCATAGCACTTTTCTATTTATTAATTCTTTCTCATCGAATTTAGAAAACAGAATAAAGGAAACTGAGCCACAAAGGTCTTAAATTAATGGTCAAGAAGTATCAGAGGGCCGGGCGCGGTGGCTCAAGCCTGTAATCCCAGCACTTTGGGAGGCTGAGGCGGGTGGATCACGAGGTCAAGAGAT